GGGGCGGGGCTGCCTTGTGCAGATGTTTGGCGGCATCCCTGGCCTCTCCCCACAAGATGCCAGTAAAACCCGTCTCCCATCCGCTCACCCAAATTATGACAATCAAAAATGCCTTCAGACACTGTCACATTTTTTATGAGATGGGAGAGGGGAGGTCCGTTGAGAATCTTCCTTTGCGAACCTTGAAGAACCTAAACTCTACAGAGGCAGCCCTGTGCTCTTCTCCCAAAATCCCCACAAGAATGTTTCTGTGGTGTTTGTGTTACTTTGTTCCGGGATTGTATCCTTTTAGAGAGACCTGGTTACAAATTTTAACGCGAGGTAGTTCGTTTTAGATTTATTAGTTTTTAAATTAGTTTCAGTTATTTTTTATTTTATTTTTCGTTTAACTTTTATAGTTTCCTAGTTATTTTTGTAGCTTTAAAGTTATCTTTTTATATTTTTTTTGTTTTCAAGGTTATTTACTTTTTGGGTTATTCATTTTCAGTTGCTTATTTAGTTATTTTAAGAGTTATACGTTTCCAAATTAGCTCTAGAATTATTTTTAATTACCTTTACAATTATCATTATCTGAGTTATTTACTTTTATAGTTCTATTTTTTGGTTATTGGAGTTTTCAAGTTATTTTTAGTTCCTTGACTACTGAAAGTTTTCAAATTGTTTTAGAATTATTTATTTTCAGAAAAAGTGTTTTTAGTTATTTTAGAGTTACTTATAGTCAGAGTTATTTATTTTCCATTTACATTTGGGATTGTTTATTTTTACATCCATTTATTTATTTTAGTTATGTGGTTTTAAATTATTTTCAGTTGCTGCATTTTTGAGCATTATATTTCCTGAATTTTTTTATTTTCAGAGATTTGGACATTTAATTTTGACTTATTTTCAGTAACTTAGTCTCTATTTCTTTTCAGTTACATCTTTGCCATTTAAAATGTTTTCTATTCTGTATTTTTACTAATTGTATTTTCAAAATTATTTAGTATTAGAATTACTTAGTCTAGGGGATCCAAACAAGAGAGAGACACAACAGCATTTATTTTAACAGAGAGAATTTAGTATAAAGAATTGTTATCCAGCTGCTGGAGATTTTAACAGGAAAAAAAAAGTGATAATGTGAGATTATGGAGATGTTCACCAGGAGGACTAGCTACCAGTCCACTGGCTAAGGGAGCAAAGGGAAGAGATTGGAGGTGGTCCACAGTCTAGGGGGAGGTGCTGCCCCATGGGACAGGTGTCCCAGGAGGTGGAAGTTGGTCAGAGAGCTGGATGCAGAACTCTCCATAAAGGGTGCTGCCAGCTGGTGCTGGAGTCTCTCAAGAAGGGTGGGGGGTAGGGGGAGGAGGCTGGTTGTGAGCATGCTGGGAAAATGGCAAATGGAGGCTACTGGAATCAGCTGTTGCTCTCAGGTGAATAGCAGGTGCCTGGGGAGGCTGGCAGGAAGTCAGCCCATGGGGTGCCTCTCTTCCTGGGTCCTCCCATCAGTCTGCCCTATTGGCCAACAGGGAGCAGCTGGCAAAGGAGATGAGTGGCTCCAGACCACAGAACAGAGATTAGAAGGGTGGGCCAGAAGCTGAGAAATCATGCCTAATAACCAGCACCCTGAGCTCCGGAGTTGTTTACTTTTAGAGTATTAGTTTTGAATTTAGTTAGTTTGGGAATTGTTGTGGTGATTTGATTTTAACTTGTCACTGGATGTGGGATCTAGCTGAGTTTTGGGTCCCCTGATTTGTTTCTGAAAAGGAGTGGGAACTTCTTTCTTAAACACCTGAGGATTGTCTCTCATATGACTCAAGAAAATCACTCTAGAATTCAAGAAAACAAAAAGAAGCATCTCACTTTGTTCATAAAGAAGCCTTTGGACTTTATGGCTAAAAAATGGCAGAGACTAAAGGACAGACTATCAGGGAAAGGCTCTTCACAACTGTCCAGCAGAGTGTTGTTTGAAAATTTTCAGAAAGTTATGTTGTGGAGATACTCTCTTTTGCCCTTTTCCTAATGACAAAATATCTTTCTTGATGGAATGTGTTTCAGAGTTGTAGACTACAGTATTTACTATTTGCAAGCTAAAATAAAGTTCTACCCAAACCTATAGAAGATCTTATTTCCTTCTACTTGCATTATTTTCCAACCTATTTTCCATTTTGATCATAAGAACATTTATTTGTTTGTGTGTTCATTCTGCTCAACACCTATCTCCTGAGCAGCCCTGTCCTGAAGAAGGCATTGCATCAGGAGAGACCAGGGAGGTATGAAGGTGAGTGTGAAGCTCTCAGTGCGATAGGGGGAGACAGATGTGGAAACAGATCATCACAGCACAGTGTGACAAATACTCTGGGGCACGGAACCCTGCCCCTGACTTCCTGATGTAGTCGGGGGTGGGCTGACATCTGAGCTGGGTCTCCTGGGACAAGCGTGTTCTCCAGGGGGAGAAGGAGAAGGGCATCCTGGTCGTGCACAGGCACGGAGGCACGAAGGAGTGATGCAGGCAGGGAAATGCATTGACAGAGGCCACTGGGCCACAGGGTCCAGAAAGTCCCTGGTGCTTGGCAGATAGGACCTCATTTGGTCCTCACAGCCATCTGCAAGAGGGTAGGAAGTGACATCAGGAGCCAATGCTCTTCCTGACCTTAGGGTTCCAGCCACAGCTTGTAAGGTCCTCTGACTTGTCATTCCTGGAATCCTTCAGCTCATTCCTGGCTTTATCCTTGGTCCATTCACTCCTTCCCACTTACTCTTGGAGGTGAGTCTCTCCCTCCTCTGTGTTTTGATTCCTGCTTCTTAAACATCCGTGGGGGGGGAGGAGGGTTGAGACCAGCCAGCTGTGAAGTGCAGGTAACGCCAGCTGCAGAGGAGGCAGAGAGGAGCAGAGCAGAGCCCCTGGGTCTCTTAGGGGAGTTCTGCAGACCAGCACGGCGGGAGCTGAGCTCTTGTCGGACCAACCATAGCCTGCGACGGCATTCAGCACCCCTTGAAAGTCTATGGGGATGCCTCCCCAAAGTGGGGAGCTTGCTACAGATCCAGCCCAAGCTTGTGAATCAATAGAGAGATTTTAAAGCACACAGAGCCCTTTGCTACATTAACAGCACTGGACACGTCTACCAAGTCAAAAGAAAGTACAATCCTTCCTGATCTATGATGGCATATCTCCACACTTTTTTATAGAACACTATCATACAGTCTTGAATATGTTTCTCAGCATACTTCTCTGCTTCAGTCTCTCTGGTGGTTTTACCAATCACCATATGCATTTCTCAGTGAGACCATGTAAGTACTGGAGCTGGACAGAAGAATCTTCTGTATTCTGACTACTAGAATAGTCAGAAGATTCTCTTAGACACTTTGACCATTGACTAGCCCACTACAGAGACAGCCAACAGCTCTCCCAGTCCTTTGGGCCCCAATCATTTTCTGTATCCACAAAAACAGCCACACTCAGTGGTGCTGGCAGAGCTCAAAATGCCCAGACCTCTCAGGCTTCACATGAGGAGCCTCTCCACAAATCTTGCATCACAGGTGGGCGACCAGAGGAGCCATTTCAGTACCAGACATCATTGCTGATGCTGCCCCCAGGTGCTCCATGGTAGCCCGCTGTGGCTTTCCACCCTGACTTCTTTGCCTAAGCCCCACACAGCTGCTCTGGTTATCCATGTCCTCTGAGAGAAACAAGAAAAAAAGTGGCTCTTATGTGAGTGAAACTTATGTCATCTTTCTATCTGAGTCAATGGAGAAGAATTCAGAACCATCAGATAAAATCTTACAGCCACCTTCCACTAGTGATTCAAGTCATTTGTAGCTTTATAGTGTTACCTGTTGCCCACTAGAGGGATGCATTTCAACATGTTGCTGAGGGGTGGGAATGCTGTAGCCCTGGAGGAAAGTGCCCTCTGGCTGAAGCAGTTCACTAAAAGCAGCCCTGAGTCCGTGAAATCTGGCTGGAGACTGAGTCTGAACTAAACACCAGTTGTGCCTTATCAAATAATTAGACAAGTTAGAGATCCTTTAAACCAGCATTTCCCAGAGCATATTTTGCAAAGTAGGCAGAAGAGTGTAAGAGTTCAATGAATTAATCCCACAATGAAAAAAAAATTTTTTTAAGTAGGCACCCAGCACAGAGCCTAATGCGGAGCCTGAACTCATGATCCTGAGATCAAGACCTGAGCTGAGATCCAGAGTCGGCCACTCAACTAGCCAAGCCACTCAGGTGCCCTGAAATGACATACAATTATACTCCGTGCAGTTTTTAAAAATAATGTTTTATGTTTGAGGTGTAGGAAACTAGAAAGAGCACCATCCACGTACTTACAAGATCAAAAAATCTGGAACATACGCAAATTCACTTTTCTTGGATCCATGAAAGAGCTCAGTTCATAGGGCAACCATGTAACCTGAAATCTAAGAAAAGGCACCCACAAAGACAGATGGGACTCCAGCACTTGCTTACCTGAGGCAGGCACTGCTATACACTAGCAGGGAGAATTTAGTTAATGGCCTGGTATGGGCTTGCAAAAGAAAATGGAAACTCTGGGGGCCACAGACATCGTGTAAATTTGCATCTACTTGCAGACTTTTTCCAGTAACCCCACTGGGTACTCACAAAAATGATTAGCAAAAGAAATGAGATCCTAAGAAAGCAACCCTCCTGTCACAGACCAGGAGAGAGGAATATCAGTTGCTATAGAAAAGGCATGAAACTATGCTCAGATCCTATTTCCTTATCTTTCCTACAGAACAAAAACAGAACCAAGTGCTGAAGGAAGGGCAATAAACACAGCCTTAGAAGGCTGGTAAATCCAACTGGAACTGAGGAAAGACAACAGAATAAACAAATCTCTGATCCTGGGGGAGAAGCAGGAATATGTACCAGGTCCAAAACTGCTGGTGGGGGGAGGAGAGAAACTTTGAAGATCACACACAGCCTCCCACCCCAAGACCTGGGGGCATAGTGCCTGTATGACTGAGAATCAGAACAGAGCACTCACCCTCCAGCCCTCACCACCAGGCGGACTGACCAGCATTGGCTAACAAGCAACAGTGGGATACTGCCGGAAATGCCCCAGGTGCATGCTGACAGAGGCTCTCTGACACATACCAGGGAAGACCTAACCTGAGGGTGGAGAGGACACATCCATAGCCTAAACACAGGTAGTGCTTGAGAAACTGCAGACCAAGGATCTACACAGAGGAATGAACACTGCAAGAAATCATAATCACGTGAGTAAGTACAAAAGCTTGTTCCCATTATTTATATCTCTTTAAATGATGATTGATGATTTAAATAAAAAGAAACTATATGTGGTGAAGTTTATAATAAATGCAAAATTAAAATGTGTGACAACAATAGAACCGAGGCCAAGAGGTAAGAAATTGAAGTACACTGTTGTAAGTTTCCTATATTATAGGTGAAGTGTTATAGAATTGAAGATACTTTGTGATACCTTAAAGATACATATTATAAACTCTAAAGCAAACACTAAAATACCAGAGTTATAACAATCTAACAAATGAGAGAAAATGGAATTTAAAATATGCAACTAATGAAAGAGTTGGTAGAGAAACAAGAGAAATGAAACCAAGAACAGATAGGAAAAATAGAAAACAATGCCCAAGATGGTAGATATAAACATGACCATATCAATAATCATATGGTATTAATACCTCAATTAAAAAGGGTGATTGCCAGGCATTTGGGTTGCTCAGTGGGCTGAGTGTCTAACTCTTGATTTCAGTTCAGGTTATGACCCCAGGGTCTTGGGATCATGCCCCACAACAGGCTCCATGCTGAGATTCTCTCAGGAACCTGCTTGAGATTCTCTCTCTCTCTCTCTCTCTCTCTCTCTCTTTCTCAAATAAATAAATAAATAAATAAATTGCTTTTTTTTTTTAAAAAAATGAGTGATTGTCAAATGGACATTAAAAAAAAAATCACCCTTGTGGCCTGCTTAAAGAAACTCACTTTAAGTATTGTTAGATTAATTAAACAAGGAGGCTATTAGACTGAGGTGGCTTTAATGCCTTAGTAACATAAGCAAACAAACCAAAACCTATGCCTATAATGCCTCGAGGTTAGGAAATTGAAACCTAAGCACAACCAATCACAAACAGTCAACTAGATTTTCTCAAACAATGCATCCAATTAGGCTGTAGCCAATCAAATAATTTCCTTGCTTTGCTTCTACCTCTTCTCTACAAACATTTTCCACTAGTTCCTGAGAGTAAGCACTCCTAATCACTTCTGCTTTTTCACTGCCCTATTTGCATTTATTTTTGCTAAAATAAACAAAAATTTTAATATGCCTCAGTTTATCTGTTAGCAGTCTAAAGACACAAATAGATTAAAAGTAAAAGAATGGAAAAAGGTATATTATGTTAGCACTAATCAAAAAAAAACCAAAACCTAGAATGACCATGTTAATATAAAACAAAGTGGGTCTCAGAATAAAGAATATGACCAAAATAGAGGTGCCTCGGTGACTCAGTCGGTTAAGTGTCCGACTTCAGCTCAGGTCATGATCTCATGGTTCATGGGTTCGAGCCCCGCATCAGGCTCTGTGCTGACAGCTAGCTAAGGGCCTGCAGCCTGCTTCGGATTCTGTGTCTCCCCCCTCTCTCTGATCCTCCCCTGCTCATGTGGTCTCTATCTCTCTCGCAATAAATAAATAAAACATTAAAAAAAAAGAATATGACCAAAATAAAGATCATTAAAAAATGATAAGGTGGTTAATCCATCAAGAGGCTATAGCAATCCTAAATGTTTACACATCAGTGACAGAGCTTCAGAATACACAAAGCAAACTGCAAAGAGAAATAAACAAATCCATAATTTCAGATATTTCAACTCTTCTCTTGCAAGAATTGACAAAACAATAGAAAATCAGGAAGAATATAGAATATTTGAATTACACTATCAACCAACTTAATCTAATTAACATTTATAGAACTTTGAATACAACAACAGAAGAATACACACATTGCTCTTAAATTTACACAGAACATTTAACAAGACAGACCATTGTTATGGGCTGAATTGTATGTTCCCTCCCCCCACACGTGTTGTGTTGGCCGCAGCCTAGAAATGCCTGAGGCACTCACCTGGGCTGCATTACTCATAGAGAGCCCCACAGACATTTCTTCCTACAGGGGCTAATATTGTGGCTGGACAGCCTTTGTGGTTCTTACTGTGACTCCAGTATGGACTTCAGCAAGAAACCATCAGGAACTTTGAGGATTAATTACTCACAAGTTCTGGAAGGTACATGAGATACCTGAGAACTACAAAGTAAGATCATGGGTAGAGAGAGACAGAGAGCACAAACCTGGGGCTCTGCTTCAATTAGGGTCCAAGGCTGGAATGTCTAGATTCACTCTTTATTAGCTAATTTTAAGCATGAGAAAGAATTAGGGAATGGGAAGGGAGAAGCCAAAACAATGTTGAAGAAGAACAAAGTGGGAGGGTTAACAATACCTGATTTCAAGGTTTATCATAAAGCTACAGTAATCAAGACAATTTGATCTTGACATGAAATCACAACAGTGGAACAGATACATATGGACAACTGACATTAAACAAAAGTATGAAAGCAATGGTGTGAAGAAAGGATAATCATTTCAATAATTGGACTTGGAATAACCAGTTTTGTATATGCAAAGCAATGAACTTGCATCCACATCTCAAACCATATACAGCCCTCAATAAGATTAATAGATTTCTCATCAGAAATCACTGAGGCCAGAAATGAGTGAAATGATATATTTAAAAAGCTAAAAGAAAAAGATGATGAACTAAAAATTCTACATCCACAAAACTATTTTCCAAACACTGAAGGAGAAATTAAAACATTCTAGATAAGAAAAAATTGAGCGAATTTATCACTAAGAAACCTATCCTACAAGAAATAGAAAAGGAGTCCTTCAGGCAGAAATTCAAGGTTACTGGACAGTAACTATGATCCACATGAAGGAATAAAGAGCACCAGTAAATGTAACTACATAGGTAAATATAAAAGATATTATATATATATATATATAGTTGTTGTTTGTGTGTTTATCTTAGCTCTGGCTGCTCTAACAAATTACCATAGACTGGATGCTTAAACAACAGATTTATTTCTCAGTTTTGGAGGCTAATGAATCTGAGATCAGGGAAGCAGCATGGTTGGGTTCTGGTGAGGGCCTGCTTCCTGACCTGTAGAGAGCTAGCTGCCTTCTTGCTGTATCCTCCCTTGGTGAAGAGTAGAGTGAAGGCTAGCTCTCTTCCTCTTTCTGCAAGAACTCTAATCCAGTCAATGGCTCGCTCCACCATTGTGACCTAATTACCCCTTAAAAGCCCCACCTCCAAATACCACCACATTAGGCCTTCAATATATGAATTTGGGGGAAACACAAACAATATAGCATTGTTTGCAACTCATATCTGGTGTAAAGGACAACTGCATAAAGCAGTCATTATAAACCATGATGATGGATACACAATGTATAAAGAAGTAGTTTGTACGTCAATAGCAAAAAGTTGGGGGGAAGGCAGTGGAGCTATATACAAGCAGTTTTTATATGCTATTGAAATTCAGGTGGTATTAGTACTGGGAGCTGAGATGTTCATTATAATATTTAGAGCAGCTACTAAGAAAAAAACTTTTAATATATGGCAGATAGGACAAGAAAATTAAAACCGTATACCAGAAAAATCTTTTTAATCCATAAGAAGACAGTAATGAAGGAGTAAGGAACAAAAAAGACATAGAAAACAATGAGCAAAATGACAGGTGTAAATGTAAGATAATGTAGTCACATTAAATGTAAATGGGCTAAACACACCAATTAAAGTGCAGGTACTGGCAGAATGAATAACAAAACATGATCTCATGATATGCTGTCTACAAAGACACCCTTTGGACTCAAGGACACAAATAGATTGAAAATAAAAAGGTGGAAAAAAGATATACCTTGTACAGAGTAACCAAATGAGAGCTGGAGTACCGGTAGTAATATTAGACAAAATAGATTTTAAAACAAAAATTGTTAATAGAGACAAAGAAGGACATTTTCTTTTTTCTTTTTTTTTAAAATATTTTTATTTATTTCTAGGAGAGAGAGAGAGACACAGCGTGAGCAAGGGAGGGTCAGAGAGAGAGGGAGACACAGACTCTGAAATAGGCTCCAGGCTCTGAGCTGGCAGTCAGCACAGAGCCCGACGCGTGGCCCAAACCCATGAACCGCGAGATCACGACCTAAGCGAAAGTCGGACGCTTAACCGACTAAGCCACCCAGGCGCCCCAAGAAGGACATTTTCTAATTATGAAAGGGTCATTCTACAAAGAATATATAAAAATCATTAACACAGAGAAGCCTAACAATGGAGCCCCAAAATACATTAAGAAAACACTGACAAAATTGAAGGGAGAAATAGGCAATACAACAACAGTAATTGGAGTCTTCAATACCATACTTTCCGTAATGGGTAAAAGAATTAGACAAAAGACCAAGTAGGAAATAGTTCTGAAGACTACAGACAACTATAGAATGCTCCATCCCCAACAAAAGCAGAATACACATTTGTCTCAAACAATGTCTACAACATTCCTCAGGATTGATTATGTTAGGCCATAACATATTGACTTGTTGTCTCAATAAATCTGAAGGTATTGAAGTCGTAAGTATGTTTTCTAATCCTACTGGAATTAAACTAGAAACCTGTAACAGAAGGAAATTCGGGGAATTTACAAATCTGTGTAAATTAAACAACAAAGTCCTAAATAACCCTAATAATGAGTCAAAGAAGAAATCACAGTAGATGGGGCGCCTGGGTGGCTTAGTCGGTTAAGCGTCCGACTTTCTCTTTGGTCATGATCTCTCGGTTCGTGGGTTTTAGCCCTGCTTTGGGCTCTGTGCTGACTGCCATCTCAGAGCCTGGAGCCTTTTTCAGAGTCTGTGTTTCCCTCTCTCTCTGACCCTCCCCTGCTCACGCTGTCTCTCTCTCTCTCTCCTAGAAATAAATAAAAATATATATATATAAAAAAGAAATTACAGTAGAAATTAGGAAATAATTTGGGATGAATGAAAATAAAATCTCAACACACCAAAATTTATGGGATGCATCTGACACAGTGCTTAGAGTTTCCTGTGGCTTCTGATACACCCATCTCTTCTCTAGTTCAAGGCAGGAATCCTGAAAAACAATTCCAAGACTCTGATCCTCCGATCTGCTCAGGAGATTCGTTC